TCGTACTGACTCTGTTCTAAGTTTCACTTAAGAAATCTTCACAGGTTCCTTCATCTTCACTTTTGCAGCCTTTGTTTCCCCAGAAATAAGATTTCAGGAAATCATGCCAGACATAAGTTTAATAATATAATATATTATATTTAACATATTATCTACATAGTCTTTGTGGTACCTCCTGAATCAGACAAATCAATTTTGTCGTGGGCCAGATCACCTGGTTCTTACTGGTGAAGAAATCCTTTGGTTTCCCCAGCATTTATTCCTAAATGGAAACTGCAGGCTCAAGGCCCGATGTAGCAGCATTTCTGAAAGGGTAAACTCTGACTTTTTTTTCTCTCAGCTTGCATTTCTTCCTCCAGCAGCATGAGGCCACCTCTCAAATGGGGCACGAGGACAACTTCCCCGGGAGCAGGGATAGCGACTTGAAAGGCACTACACGAGCGCCGTGTTTCCAAATAGACACCTACATCTATTCCTACTCCACAATAGGCACCAGCGGGGTTTTGTCAGGCTGTTTGTCACCACATGGGTCTGCAGCCCTCTTGGAACTCCTGACATTATCAGAAATGGATCGAGAGGCAGCGCTGTTAAAAATAAAATCCCTGTTTTCTTCTCTGTGGAATTGTGACATCGCTGCCCAGCATTTCACATTCTCTGTGTAGAATAACCCATATAAGACAAGAACACATATTACTCGGCCCTCACCTATTATTTTAACAATATTTTAAGTACTGTAGTTTCATACACATCGTCTTTGGCATTTATTCTTTCATTTCTATTCACTCAGAAGACTGAGCCATAGTCAAAAATATATTTCTGTGTTCTGGTGTCTCTTTTTTCATAAAACCTTTATACAGGTCTTTGTAGAGAGGCCACTGTGCAGAATTTGAGCCTCAGAGTGCAGTTTTATAGACATACAGCACTTTTATTCCAGATAACAACAAAGCCAGAATGGATTGTTTACATGAGAACTGTGTACTAGGAAATGAGGATACAGAGAAAGAGCTGAGGATGGGAAGGGGTTTGGACAGAAACTGAGATTTTTTAAACTGAGATGAAGATTTCTAGATGGGTGTTTTGAGCAACACCTTGACTGGAGCAGAGGTGGGAAGGTAGATTTCCAACAGCAGAGGAAGACAAGGGAGTGGAGGGGATCACTCATCCCTGCTGGCTAAAGAAAGAAAAGGAGGAACCAAAGGCAGGGAAGTGTAGAGAACAGTAACAGAAAAAGTTACAGAGCCTGTGGTAAGTCGACCCCTTAAATATTTAATGAAAGCAACCTGACTGATCTGTTTATTCATATGGTATGCTTTCTATAATCTCAGTATTCTCAGGGGAATCAGCAGAAATATGGAAACCATCCGAAATGACAGACAGCTGACCCAGAAAAAAAAAAGAAAACTAACTATTTTCAGCTTTATTATACAACACACTTCATCCAAAACAAAGGCTTCATTAGAAAAGCTGCTCGTGATCTTTTCATAGAATCACAAGAAGACACACACCCCAAACATTTTTGAAAGAGCTGCTATGGACTGTGTTCAGCTGTCAAAAGTGCTTTAGGTTTTCTGACTGCAGAGGGCATTTCAGTCCAATGTAGGAGGGACCACAGGCACCAGGCACTCCTCTCTCAGACATGTCATTAGATATTTTACCAGTGCTTTAGTGGAGAGATCTGATCAATAGAGTGTATTACCCACAGAACAATGGAAAAGCCATGTTTTGCTCACTAACAGATGAATTTCCCAGGAACTATTGATAGCACAAACATCAGAGCTGGGTAGCCCATGTGCTCCCCCACCCTTACAGTGTGCAGGGATAACACATCCCCGGAACCCTGTGCTCCCCAGAGCACAGGAGGCACCAGCTCAGAGTGCCAAACTCTCAGGCACAGAAATACCTTCAACAGTCTGGTCCAGGGGAGAGTGGTTTTCTGAGGGATGCAGCAGATGTGGAACTCTTCCCCTTCCACCTCCCTGCCAACCCATCCATAGAAGGGTTGTGTGGGCAGGGGAGAAATCATAGAATCACAGAATGGTTTGGGTTGGAAGGGACCTTAAAGATATCCAGCTTCAAACCCCTGCCATGGGCAGAGGCACCCACTAGACCAGGTTTCTTTGAGCCCTATCCAACCTTGCCATGAACACTTCCAGGGATGAGGCATTCACAACTTCTCTGGGCAACCTGTTCTAGTGCCTCACCACCCTCACAGTAAAGAGTTTCTTCTTAACATCAAATCTAAAACCACTCTCTTCCAGTTTCAAGCCATTCTATGATTCATTCCCTCCTTCCCTGTCACTACAGTTCCCAATGAAGAGTCCCTCTCTGCTTCCTTGTAGGTCCCTTATAAATTGGGGATGGGATAACCCTGTGCATTGGTACCAACCAAGGAGCAACTGGCTCAGCAGCAGCTGGGCTTTATTTGCTGTGTGGGACACCAGGTTGAGTGTTAAACACCAGATGTCCCTTACAAGCAACGCTGTTACAATTCTGTGGTTCATCTTCTAAGGGCCAAGATAAATCAAAACTTAAAACTGCACAACGTGGTAGTTCTCTGGCCAAAGCAAGGCACGTTGCAGAGACATGGTGGCTCTGTGTTTTGGGGACACTTGCAGGGAGTGGACTCCATTAAGGGAAGAAGGCTTTTTGAAGGAGAAACTGGCTGGACAACAGGCCAGGGCAGGTCCCTGTCACAGAGCAATGTGTCCCATGAGGAAGGATCAGCACTAGAACATTTGCAACTAGTAAATTGTCTCCCAGCATTCCTGATAGAACATGCAACACTGGTGTTAGCTAGAGATGAGGAGCTGGCTGGGGAAGCAGTGAAAACATGCCAAGATCTCCCTTGAGGAGGACAGACCTCTGGGAGACTTCTGGAAATCTGTGAAGAGCAGTGATGTCAAACTGAAAAGATAGGGAAAGACTCAGGAAGTTTTTGAATCTAGTGAAGCCAAAGGACTTTACTCACTAGAAAAACCAGTTTAGCAGAGTAGCACAGCCAATTCCACAGGCTGAATGTCAACAAACAAGGACTTGCTCGTAAGGGAACAAGACTTCTGCAAGCCTCACAATGGTATGGCTTGTTGGAGGAGAATGTAAATGATTGTGAAGAGGTGGGTCTCAGGAAATGAGAGCATTGAAATCTCATGTAAACGGCTTGGGAATCGAGGACCTGGAAAAGAGCACAAACCCCACTGTTTGTCGAGTTCCAGGGCTTTATGTGAACTGCTTAATTTCTGGTGGTCTTGTAACAACAGTATTAACAATAATAAATTGTACCAGGAAAGTAGTTTGGAACCGAATTTTGGGGAAAGAAAGTCTTTCCTTGCTAGTCTGAGCATAAGTTCAGCCTGGAAAAGAAAAGGCTGCAGGGTGACCTAATTGTGGCCTTCCAGTACCTGAAGGGAGCCTACAAGAAAGATGGAGAGAGATGATTTACAAGGGCCTGGAGTGACAGGACAAGGGAGAATGGCTTCAAAGTGAAAGGCAGTAGGTTTAGATGAGATATTAGGAAAAAATTCTTTACTGTGAGAGTGGTGAGGCCCTGGAACAGGTTGCCCAGAAAAGCTGTGAGTGGCCCATCCCTGGTTTTCTGCCAAATAAAGACCAGGTTGGATGGGCCTCTGAGCAACCTGGTCTAGTGGAAAGTGTCCCTGCCCATGGCAGGGAGGTTGGAACTGGATGATCTTCAGAGTCCCTTCCAACCCAAACCATTCTGTGATTCTGTGGTGAAGAAGATGTGCTTAATTACTGATTTGGCAGGCAGGAAGAGAAAATGAAACAGAAAAGTGTATGGCCATCACTGTAACTTTTTGTGGTCCCCTGGTTCTCCTGTATTTCTCTGCAGGTCTTCTGGGTGCACTTATCCTCTTCTGAAAGAAGAAAATGTTCAAAAAGTGAAAATGTTTCCTGTTTAATTCTGACCTTTTCTCTCTTCCCACCCTGCCAAGGAGGTGGCAAATGTCATTTGAAAGGTGTGGATATTGTAACAAAGGTGCAGGGAGATAATGTATATGCATCATGATGTATATGCACAGGCACAACCTTCTCTTCTGAGCCAGTCTGTTCAAGAGCACCCGTGGGTGTGCAAGCACACTGCAGGAAAAAACTTAAAAGAACAACAGGGGCTTTCATATTCATTTGCAGCAGGTCAGGGAGTTGATCCTCCCCCTCTGCTCAGCCCTGTGAGGCACATCTGGAGTGCTGTGTCCAATTCTGGGCTCCTCAGGAGAGGAGGGACATGGAGCTCCTGGAGCGGGTCCAGTAAAGGCTACAAAGATGCTGAAGGGATGGAGCATCTCTGGGAGCAGGAAAGGCTGAAGGAGCTGGGGCTGTTCAGCCTCCAGAGCAGACACTGAGAGGGGACCTCCCCCAGGTCTGGAGGGGCTGCAGGGAGGGGGCAGAGGATGGACCAGGCTCTGCTCAGGGGTGCCAGCAATGGCACAAGAGGAACGGGCAGGAACTGATGCCCAGGAAGTTCCACCTGGACATGAGGAAGAACTTCTTTGCTGTGGGTTGATCACACAATGGAACAGATTGCCCAGAGAGGGTGTGAAGTCTCCCTCACTGGAGATATTCCAGAACCATCTGGACACAATGCTGTGCCATGTGTTCTGGGGTGACCTTGCTGGAGCAGGGAGGTTGGACCAGATGAGCCACTGTGGTCCCTTCCAACCTGACCAGTTCCTATGATTCTGTGATTCTGTGATTCTGTGACTCTAAAACTTCAGAGAAGGACATGTCCCATGTAACAGAGTAACAGGAGAAAGAACTGAATGATTTAGAGATCATCATTCTGTCAAGATGTTCTGGTGATGAACAAGGACAGTGAAACATATGTTGTTTGAGTAGTCACACAAACCTCAGGGAAAACATATGATAGAAGTCATGTCTTTCAGTGTTCATAAAACATAGCAGCTACTCAGATATGTGCCATAAGGACATGTTTTCCCAGGTTTAAATGGGTGACTTTAATGCCAGGTACCACCACCTTCTCAGCTCTTCATGGTCTCTTTTGTAGATAAATGTGCTCTTCTGTTTCTCTTTTTCTAGTAACACTCCAGCAGTGCCTCTTCATTTGTCCTCTCTGGTTTTCTTCCTAGACAAAAACCCAGAGAAAAAGGACTACTGGCATCCACCAAGATGTGTGCAGACTCCAACATCATAAAACAAGCACATCTTTCCCTACCTTTGCAATCCAAAACATGCTCTGGCACTAAGTTTATCTTTCAAGGACCTTCTCAGAGAAAGCCCATTGTGTATGTACTTTGCAGGGTCAGCCAGCAAAGCCCCCTTCACTGTAGGTGTCAAGACAAAAGATGAACACTGAGATACCTTCCCTGCCCTCAGTTTCCTCAATAATCTTGAGGATGGCTTGGGGTGCAGTTAAGGTCATCTAGGGCTGCTCCTCCCTTGCCTGACTTGTCCAGATCAGAGAGTCACCTCCTCCTCTAACCAGCTTTTTCTGACCTTGTGCAGTGTTTCTGCTGTGGAAAGTCATGCCATTGGTCTCATCTCACTTGTTTTAAACATTAGAACCACCCTAATTCCCCTGGTCTTCTTGCTGAGAAAGTCCAACCAAGACAGAGATGTTTGGAAAAGTGGTTTCACATAGAAAGGAGCCTTATGTGTGATATGGAGTCATTTAGAATCATATGTGTGATATGGAGTCATTTAGAATCATAGAATCATAGAAATGTTAAGGTTGGAAAATACTTCTAAGATCATCAAGTCCAACCATCAGCTGAGCACCACCACCACCACCACCACTAAATCCTATCCTCAAGTGCCATATCCACAGGTTCTTTGAACAATTCCAGGGATGATGACTTCACCACTTCCCTGTACAGCTTGTTCCAAAGCCTGACAACCCCTTCCATGAAGAAATTTCCTCTAATATCCAATCTGAACCTCCTCTGGTGCAACTTGAGGTCATTTCATCCTGTCACGACACTTGTTTCCTGGGAGAAAAGAGGCACAACCTCCTGTCAGGTAGTTGTAGAAAACAAGGTCTCCCCTGAGCCTACTTTTCTCCAGGTTAAACACCCCCAGCTCCCTCAGCTGCTCCTCATCAAACTTGTGCTCCAGCCCCTTCCCCAGTTCTGTGGCCCTTCTCTGGACACACTCCAGCACCTCAATGTCTTTGCTGTAGGGAGAGACCCAAAACTGAACACAGGATTCAAGTGCAGCCTCACCAGTGCCAAGTACAGGGGAAAAAGGTTTGGGAGTGGTATAGATGCAAAACTAGTCCTCACTCCATAATAAACAGAGGATAAAGACACTGTTTTTCTGTGTAGTTACAATTTTTTTTCAAACTTTCAGTATTTGAGTATCGTCAAGGTAGGGAGGATGTTATGGCTTATGCCAGGCTTTTCACAACAATTCTTATATTTTAACCTCTAAAAACGAGGAAGGAGAAAAGTGCTGACATAATGGTGGGTCTGTTTGCTCTGACCATTTCATCCAGAACAGTTCCAGTCTCTTGCAGAAAGCAGTCAGGGGGTTGATCTTGCACTGCAAACCTGCAGAAACTTAACTGACATGGCACAGCTTGAAGGACTGTTTTGTGAGCTTATGCTCCTCACTGCAGCAGTCTTTGGCATAAGTGATGGATGGATGTGATAACTACCACTACTTCTTTTTACTTGCATGTCATTAACGTATTGCCTCTTAATGTTAATAAAATACACACTGTAAACTTTACAATGTAAATCTTCAGCATCATAAAGGCCCTTTTCATGTGAGTGGGTATTGCAGGTACCTATAAATTTAGGTGGAAGAAGAAGCTGCAAGACAACAGCATGCCCAAAAGAGAGGGTAAAGACTGAAAGCTTCCTGAGAACTGATAAGCCCAGGAGAACTAATGATCGTCTTGAACCTTCAAGAGTTGATAAACACAGAACCAAGAGTTTGCTACATTTGTTAAAGGTGACTTACACACAGGAGCCACCAGGACATCAGTACAACCCTCTGCTTCTGAGCAAATGGCCTCAAAGCTGTTGCTCCAACTGGGAGCTGTATGATCCATGACTGTGCAAGTGAACTGTGAGAGTGAATGTGCCATGTGAATAGTTATTTGCCATTAATAATAACGGCTTGTTTTGATCTCCAATAACAGCCTAATGAATAATAAGCATTCTAAGAAATATTGTCTGTGATCCTTGTCTCCCACAGCTCACTTCCCTACCAGGGAAAAGGGAATTTACAGCATGAGAATGGTGGACATTTCATTTCAGCAGCCGAATGACTTCACATAAACAATGATAAGGGAGAAAAAAGAAATAAGGCTTTTGTTGTTGTTGTTGCCCTGAAACTTGTTGAGAGAACTCAAGAGCTTTATACAAGGACAGTATGATAGTTGGAAGCCATTTGAAGAGGAAGGGAGTGGAAAGGAAAGGGGAAGAAGTGGGAAGACTGCACTTCCTAAATAAAGACAGATGGTGCCTGTGGTTTCTTTTGTAGGTGTGTTCTTGCTTCCTTGGGTGCATTTGCAATTGAACACATTTTGTCACCATCTGACATGTTTATAAAAAACTACTTGCTGGATTGGTGAACACACTGATTTATGCTGGTTTTCTTAAAGACTCCAGAACTACTGGGTAATAAAAAAAAAAAAAAAAATTGAAAAATTGCTTGTTTCTGCAACTTCACTTTCTGAGACTTAATAAATAAATACCTCTCCAACATCCCCACAATCCCACCCTGTTGTCTCCCATATAGCACTGTGTTGTGTTCCCATTTATAGCTCAATACATTCTCTTGTTCCACACAGGAAAGCCCAGAACATGGAAAGGCTGCCTGACACCACAGCTTATCCCATCTGTAGCAGCTGGAAAACACAGAGGTCTGCAGAAGTGAGCACTAACAAGTAACTAGACAGAATGAGAGACACAACTACGCTTATTTCTTGAAAGACAAGATGCATCAAGATGTTCTTTACAGCGGTAAAATGATCAAAAACACATGACAGCTTCTGCTTACAAGTATTCCTGTCATGTCACCCTTCCCTTTATACCAAGTGCCTTCATTCCCTAGAAATAGTTGTGTCTGATAAAGATTAAAAGAGAGGATTTAAGGCTCAGAGTGTGTGTGCATACCATCCTGTCCTGTTCCTGTCTGATCATCCAAAGAGAAATCTCCCAGGCTGCAATATTTGCAAGGCTTGCTTTGTGCTGCATTGTGTTCTCCAACCCTTTTTTCCCTTGGATTTAGTCCACTTCTGTAATATGGGAGGACAGAATACTTCATCCTCCCCTTTAAACTTCCAGTTTTGATTCATCAGCTGTTTCATCAGGCTGACAGGTGATCTCAATTCCTTCAAAACAAACATCCAGAAAATTAATTTTCTCCCTTTCTCTACCCATTCCTGCATAACACTGAAAAAGCATATGGGAGATAGCAAAGCTATACATGTTCACATTTCTGCTCATACCCCAAGGGAGGTTGTGGCAAGGTGGGGATCGGCCTCCTCTCCCAGTGACAGGCTTCAAGATGTTCCAGGGGAAGGTCCAGGTGGGACATCAGGAGGAATTTCTTCATTGAAAGGGTTGTTAAGCATTGGAATGGGCTGCCCAGGGAGGTGGTGGAGTCCCCATCCCTGGAGGTGTCCAAGGAAGGACTGGACTTGTCACTCAGTGCTCTGGGCTGGGGGACAAGGTGGGGATGGGGCACAGGGTGGACTTGATGGTCTAGGAAGTCTTTTCCAAACACCACCTTGTCTACTGGACCACAGCATTAATTACGATATCCAGTCATTAGAAATTCATATATGAATGGAATGGATTCTCTCAGCTTTTCCTCTCCACATCCAGATGATTGACTCAGACAATGCCCTGACAAGACATCCAATTACTGCCCCTACTGTAGACTTTGCTGTATTTACTATTTTATCCCCACTCCTGTCCTCAAATACATTTACTTTATTTATAAGACTATAATCAAGGCTTTCCTTAAATTGTACAGGCCCAGAAAACTAGAGTAGAAATCTGAAGAAAGACTGCAAAGTACCATCCAGAGAAAAATAATCAGATAATGGCAGTAGAGGGATTTTTTTAGAATTAAACATGAAAAGAAATAAACTACTGCAGTATCCACTGCACTATCTATACTGCAATTAATTTAATTTATTTTATCCTGCTTTGTATCATCAGTGTTCTGCATGCTGCAGAGTTTTGTTCTGAAAATGCAGAATTGCAGATTCAAAGTAGGAAGTGAAGGGGACAAAATCAGAGCTTTCAGCATCAAAGATCATCACAGTGGAGGCCCTCGGGAAAGTCCAAGGAAATTATTTAGGATTAATACACAACTGTATTAACTGGAGGTTTCTGCTAAATTGATTAGCAGTGAAATTAGCTACATTAGCCTTTCCCAACTTTAGGCTTCAAATTGACCCAAAAGATTAATTTGGGCAATTCATACATCCCACTGCTGTTGCTGCTGTCTGATCACTGCCTACAGGAGCTGTCACCACACCGGGCAGACACTGCTCATGTAATTGTTTTTAAAAAGCTCTCTGTGCAGCTACAGGGGGTAGAAATACTGGGCTTGTTTCAGCCACACGGACCTAGAGAAAATAGATGGCAAAAACCTCCTCTTGCTCCTGTTGTGGGTGGCTGTTTCTGGCGGCGGGGGGAGTGTTTGATGACTGCACGGGAGGCACTCGCTGCCCACAGCTGTGATTTCCTGCCCTGCCATCCACTTCAGAGTGACTCAGTGGGGATTGTGTGCTGCTGAATGCACCCCCTGAATGATGAACTCATCCCTTTCTCCCTCTCCCAGAAAGGACCTTTGTGCAGTGTAAAATGCACCCAGCTGCACAGCCAGCCAGGGAGCCAGTGCTAACATTTCCAGCCGCACGTGCTCTTCCTCGACACAGTGCTGTCCACCCACGTGGAGCTCGGGTCCTCCAGGCAGTTCATTCCAAGGTTATACTGCTGATGAACAGGACTAACTATTTTTATTTATGATATTAAATACACCCTAACAAAACTGGAGACCATTAGAGGTTTCCTCACTGAACGGAGCAAATAAAATGCATGAACTGACACGGATCGATACGAGTTTATCACATCAAACACTAATTCAAAGACACAAAGCTTCATGCAGGCACATCATACATGGGTAGGAGAGAGTTGCCTTGCTTTCCAGAGACCCTCAGTGGCCTGCTAGTTAAAAAAGAAATAACTCCTGGTAGTTCCCTTGGGCTGACAGCCACTGAGAGTCACAGAATCACAGGATGGGTCAGGTTGGAAGGGAGCACAGTGGGTCATCTGGTCCAACCTCCCCACTTGAGCAGGGTCATCCCAGAGCACATGGTACAGGTTTGTGTCCAGACAGTTCTGGAACATCTCCAGTGAGGGAGATTCCACACCCTGAGGTGCCTTCATGAATGATCAGGTTGGGAGGTCCCTGTGACCCTCACTAGAACAGCAACAGCAATTAATTTTAAATATCGACTCGCTCTACCTGTGCTGAGCAGCACCTGCTGCTGTGGTTGAGGAAAGCAAACATGCCTTTGTTTTTTGCATTCAACAGGATATATAAATACATAAATACCCCCAGGTATTTATGGGGGCGATGCTGGTACTTCCTTGCTGTGACTCTGTTCTCCAGTTTACACATCCATGCCCTAATCCAGGATAATCAGAACCGTGAGTTTTCCCTGCCTGTCTGGATCACAATGCCAATACTGTTCATGTCTTATGAAATGTTCACTACAAAATGTTCGCTGTCTTTTGAAGAACCCTGTCTTTCTTTGGAAAAAAAAGAAAACTCAGATAACTCCTCAGCTCAGGTATTCCCCACAGCAGCACTTTGCTCACACCGCTAAATCAAAGAGTATTATAATGCAAAGTAGCTCTGTGTTGCATATCAGCTTCACAAGAAACATCACATGAACCTGGAGCTCAGGCCAGCAATCATGAAGTTTGGATATCAAAGGTGTTTTACAATATTGTTCAAACATAATAAATACCTCAGGCAAGTTTTTCAAATCTGTCAACTGACTGAAAAATGATGTCCCATCAGAGGCTGCTGAACATGTTTCCCCCATCATCCTTACCTGTTAGGAACAGTAATTGCTCCTCAAACGTGGAGCCACAGGAAATGCAGCAACAAATCATATCTACATCCATCCCTAACTTCCACATACAGAGTAACATCATCCATTCCCATCCCACCCTGACAGTTTTAATGATGCTCTCCAGAAAATTGTGGGAAATAGAAAGCAATCCCTATCTCTCACACAGGACACAGTCCCAAAAAACCTCCAGTAGCAACACAGCAAGGAGATTAATAAAGCTGTATTAAAAGGAAAATTGTGACAAAATCTTAGCTATGCCACTGCTACTTCTGTTTCACGTAGATATGTGTCCAGTTCAGCTGGAATAATCTTAAAGAGAATTAAAACGCATTACAGTTGTAGAAAATAATTAATTAAGACTGTAGGAGATCAAAAACTGGCAGTGACAGATGAAGTTCAGGTGGAGAAAGGCGTTTGCCTCCGTCTCCCCTCTTGTCAGGCATCAGCACAGCTCCTCTCAGCATCACTCAGCACCTGCAGCAGTTTGTCTCCTGATGTCAGGCTGAACTGTCTGGATGGCTGTCCTTGGGCTTGGCGGTGCTACCTGTTGGCTACCTTTGAAGTGGGGAATGGAGGGAGCCACCAATACCTGCCACATGAATTGTCAGCCCTGTCCCTAAGTTGCTGGGCTGAGCTCTCTTGCAAGCACAATGTCTGCAGAGGAACAGATAGGGAAGAAGACTATAATCTGTTATCATGAATTTTAATGCAGTGCTTTATATTTATACCCAAGCTATAGTCCATAAAACTGAAATGAATTTCTAATGCTGTAAGTATTATTTGCTATTTTCCATTCTGGTTGCCATTTCGTTCAGATTTTCTTTAATAATGCATTTTATAGGCCTGTACCTCTGCAGCTCCCCTCTGCCAGCTCAACTCCTCTGCTAACAGTAGCAATGCTTCACAAAGCCCCGTGATTTGAAGTGACCTTGGGACTACCTTTTTCCCTGTTCTCCCCATGCTGGTAAAAATCACAGCATTAACTGGAAGTAGCCCTGAATTCCCTGGCTTTTGTTAGCTTATCTCGGATTCTCCCGATGTGCATTTTTGATGTTTAATTTCTTTTGTATTTGGCCACCTCTCTCAACTTGGAAGGGGAGCAGAGCACCCCTCCCCAAACAGCAGCCAGGAGCATCACCAGCCACCTGCACACTGAAGGGAAGCATCTCACCACTGAACCTCCCAGTCATCACAACCACAACCATCCCCTCATCAGCATGGTTGTCACATCCCTCCAGTCTCTGCCACGGTGCATAGACGAGGCTGCTAAAGGTTGCAAAGAGAGGCAAGTTGCTTAAAAGCACCCTGCTGCTGACTCCCTGCCTCATGACTGACATGCTGAGGATGCCATGTGTCAGGTGCCATTTCCTTGCCTGCCTCCCCAGGCAGGTACCCTTCCAGCTCATGGAATAAAGCCTCTTGCAAATTAGGAGCAACGAGCCCTCCCTGCTGCTGTCTCGTCCTCTTCCCGGGTCTTGCCACTTCAGTTAAACCCTGGAATTGTTCTTCCTGTTATTGCCTGGCATCCCTCCCTCTGGGGGCACTGCTCTTCCCCATCCTGTCCCTCCATCTCCTCTTTCTTGGCTTTACAGCAGCAGAACTGTTTGCTAATGAGGGAAAACTCCCAGCTCCCGATGCCTCACCCTGCCGACATTCCCAAGTGTGGGCCACGCTCACGCCGTACACTTGCAAGGAGTGGGAAGCCCTTTTGTCCAGGTGGGCCTTGCAGCTGTTTCTCCAGCTAAACTAATAGAATTTAACGTGCTCCCTTTGCAGCTGGATGCTGACTCAACTTTTCCAAGCAGCATATGGACAAATGCTTGTTCAGGTTTGTATCACATACCCAGGAAAACCAACCTTTTCTCCCTCAAGAGAAATACGCCTTATTTGGCCTGTTTTATCATAAAGGCATGAAGAAGAAGACACCAAAATAAATAAACCAAATATGGTTTGATGAGGTAAAAACTGCTGTCAATCATCCCAGCTTGGATGGGGCTCTGAGCAAGCTGGTCCAGTGGAAGGTTCCCTGCCCATGGCAGGGGGGTGGAACTAAAGGATCTTTAAGGTCCCTTCCAACCCAAACCACTCTAGGATTCTATGATTCTATGAAATTAAGGAAGGCCCCTGTCTGTTCAGTGGTGACTCAGCAAGCAGCATAACCTTCCTGGCTTGACCTCCCACGATACAGAGCCCATATAAGCAGTTTTAAAGCTAAACAAACACTAAACAAACATACAGAGAACCTTATGAAATATTTCTAAAGCTGGTCTCAGGGCTTTGAAAGCATCAGTTTTAAGGCACGATTTACTGTCTGCTATCACAACAAAACAAATACCACAGATTAAAGCAAAATATGTCTGTGAATCTACAAAATATGGAAATAATGCACATGGAAAATGGAAATCTTCCTAACCATCTGGAGCCTAAGTGTTTGCCATCAATATTGGATCCAGTAGCACTGTAGCTAGTTAGCATTTTGTCACTGATTTCACTAAGGCCAGGAATCATGGATAACCACAAGTGTTTGGAAATGGAAGCTCAGTATTAGGTAAGCAGAACTCACTTCCAGCAATTATGAAGTCAGAGGTGTGCAGCTGCCTGGTTGATTTTATTTCTTTGCATGCTAGACAGTAGGAAAAGGAGAATAAAAAAATATTATTTCCTTTGCTGTTGCTGTTTAATCACTTTGGATAATTCTGAAACTTCTACCCAAAAATTATAATCGTGTTGTGTAAGATACATGTCTTAGCAAGACAGAATCAGAAGCTGAAAGTTTGAAACTCACCACTGAAAAAATATTATTTTGTGTCCTTTCACACAAAAATCTGCATTTCATGCAAAACTCCCAGTAAAATATTTTCATTATGCACCGTGCAGGCAGCACAAGCAAGTGGATTGTTCCCTTGTCCTGCTCTGCCAGTGGGAACGACCCACATTTAGCAAAGGTCATGAGAGTTACCAGAGTAATTAGTGTAGGCCTAAATCTCATAGACTGCAAGTTTTTTTCTGGAAGGTAGGTGGCTTTTCTCCAGAGTTCCTCCAAATCCATCCAGAGATTGTCCAAACATCTCAAAGATTTCCTCCTTCACATTCCCTTAACTATCAGACCAGAAGCTGATCTTCTAAGGCTGCAAGGATGGCAACTGCATGCTCTGATTAGCATGGGGAAATAAAGCAGCTGAAAAATCTAAACCAACCCATGCCTGCACTTTGCAAGAGAGTTTCTTACCAGGTGGGAAGGTGGCAGCATGGAATCTGGATATGTTCTCAGGACAATCTAATTCTGACACTAAAACTCCAGCAGCGAAAGGGAGTATAGATCATTTATTCACTATCCCCACAGATGCCTCTTCTAGGGGCTGCATCACATCTGTCAGCTGCTGTCTGGTGTTTTGGATATCCTGGAGAGCCTCAAATGGCATCACCTGCCTGTGGTTCAGTGACACCACCTCTGCTTTGCTCCATGACCAGATGTGACCACAAGGAGAATGCAGGAGAAGTTCTTTTCTCCAGCCCCTTTTGCAACTTCTCAACCGAAAGGAACTCTACACCACAAAGTCATAGAAAAACAGAATGGTTTGGGTTGGAAGAGATCTCAGAGATCATCTCATTCCAACCTCCCTGCACAGGCAGGGACACCTTCCACTAGACCAGGTTGCTCCAAGCCCCGTCCAACCTGGCCTTGGACACTTCCAGGGGTTGGGCATCCACAGCTTCTCTGGGCAACCTGTGCCAGGGTCTCCCCACCCTCTTAGTGAAGAATGAGAGGCATTCTCTTACTTTGAAGATTGTCTACTGGCCAGACACCAAAAAAACCCACAACACTAAATTAAATACTACCATGGAGTTTCCACTCTCAAATCATTTCATTAAGAGCAGCCTAAGTGTTTACAATGAAGGAATATTATAGTGATATGAAGACAGGTGAGTGCTCAAATACAACCACATAGGCTTTTCCATGTCTGTGCATCACACTGCTTTTTCAAGTGGTAGATGTCCCACTGGCTCCAAAGACACACGGTGGCATGGAGGGGACAGAGGGTTGCACAGATGCCTCAGGGAACATTTCCATGGTGGAGCTCAGTAGCCAGGGAGACTAAAAAGGTATGGGAGAAGAGCCTGTGGGAGGGGAGTCAAACACAGCAGGGAGAAATGTGAGAGGAGGCTGAGAGGAGGGATGTTAGGGCGTGCAGTGAGCGTGAAGGTGATGAAGAAAGACACCACATCCATGCAGCCCCTCTGCAAGCAGTTGCAGGCAGGCAGATCCAATGCTCCTGCTGCAGTCCATAAGCTCCACACAAATCCTGGGGTCCTCCCCCCTGCTGCAGTGCTCAGGGGATGGGAACACCTTCCCCTGCAAGGGGGGAGCCAGGGAGGGGTGAGGAAAAAGAAGGATGGAGAGAGAGACACAGGTGGGGTTACACTAGGACAGGGCATTTGAAATGGACACGACAGGTAGAAAACACATTCCTGGCAGGAATCCTGAGGTGGAGGAATACAGTCTGTGTTTGGGGAGGAGAGAGAGACAATATTGCATCACATTGCAATGACTTGGAGGGAGGGAAAGATCATGGGAGCTACGTCATGCAGGGGAGAATCCAAACATGGGGTGAGCAGCAAAGCCACACAGAAGGAGAGGAAGGGTCAGATATCAGATGTGGGGGTGAGGAGAGAGGAACAGCATGAATTCTTGTACAGAGTTGTAATAATCAAAACATTGGCAGGGCCTTAACTAGGCAGCCCTGCTGGGTGCCCAGATAATACAGCTGATTTTAATTGCTGATGTGTGCATTTTATGTCATTTGCCTGATGCACAGCCCTTTTATGACCGTTGCGTTTGACCACAAATCAACAGTCAGTCATAAAGCATCAGGCACATGACCTCCTCCCCAAACGGGCTGTGTTATCTCTATTGATATTCAATATTTAGATTTTTAATGGAGATGGATGGACAGGCATAAGGATGGGAGCAAGGTGGGGCACAGAGAAGCGGGTTTGAAATTAAACAGGTTGACAAAACATAAAGGCAGGAGGCAAGAGACAGATGAATAGCCAGGGAGGTGCCTGCCACCAGGGTAGGCAAATATCATCTGGAGTCAGACAAAACTGCCAGGCAGCAGAGAAATATGAGTATGAGATAGGAAAAGAAGGACCAAAGAGACTGAAAAGAAAAATAATTTCATACAAAAATCCCGTTATTCCACCTTCCCCATTCCCCTAGCCCACCACTCTGCTGCTTCCCACCTCTCCCCGTTTCCAAGGAGCGTGGTATAAAAGGTTTGATTTCGGGACTAGCAGGCTACATGTTGTCAGATGTGGCATTGTTAGCTGGAGGTCTACAGGAGGATGCATATTGCTTCTCTCCCACCTGCTGTTCATTTCATAAACTGCAATCAGCACACAGTCAGTCAACACCTCTCTTGTTTATTATGTGGTGCAGCGGGAGATTTCGTCAGACCTTTAAAGCACTGGACCAAATGCCACACATCCCAAGTTGTGCCAATGGGTGAGACAGGAGTCTGTGCAGCACCTGTGCCCTGGTTGTCCACAGACCTCACAGACTGGTTTCTTCCTCATTCCTGTCCCTTTTAAATACATTACTTTGAATTCTTTCACATTGCCATGAATTTCTCTTCCCATACTCGTTCTTGATTCACATGTTACTATCTATGCTCAGCCAGGAAGCTGTTTTAGAGACCAAAACTAGCATCCATTTCTGTCAAACAGGAACAAATGATTATTGCACTGTCAGATATTTATCATACCCACAGTATGACACAGGAAGTGGATATTGGCTCTTGAGCCCCGGGGTCCCCAGAACAGGAAGGATGTCGATCTGCTGGAATGGGTCCAGAGAAGTTCACCAAGCTGATCAGAGGGATGGAGCAGCTCTGCTATGAGGAAAGACTGAGAGAACTGGGATTGTTCAGCCTGAAAAAGAGAAGGCTTTGGGGTGACCTAATTGTGGCTTTCCAGGACCTGAAGGGAGCTGACAAGTTGGATGGAGTTCCAGTCCCCCTGCCACAGTCAGGGACACCTTCCACTAGACCTGGTTTCTCAGAGCTCCATCCAACCTGGCCTTGAGCACTTCCAAGGATGGGGCATCCACAATTTCTCTGGGCAACCTGTTTTAGTACCTCACCACCCTCACAGTAAAGAATTTCTTCCCAATATCCCATCTAACCCTATTCTCTTTCATTTTGAAGCCATTCTCCCTTGTCCTGTCACTCCAGACCCTCGAAAATAGCCTCTCTCTGTCTTCCCCATAGGCTCCCTCCAGGTATGGCAATGCTCTCCAAAAGCCCCAAGGAAGCAAACATAGGTTACAGAGCTGCACTGGGCCTGCAAAGCTGCCTGAAGGTGTGGCAGCCTCTGCTGAAAGGTTCAACATGCCATGTCAGTGTACAGGACATGCAGAAATATTGGCCCCTCTTTGAAGAAAAGGATACTACTGATCAGAAATTCCAGACAAACAGGGGAATTCCTTATTACTCTCCCTATATAGGACTCCAGTCATGGGACAAAGACTGTGTCTGAAACCTCAGTCTTCATGAGCGGACAAGGCCAGTGTAATCTTTTGCCCATTTTAGAGATGGGATCATTTGCCAGTTGAATATTTCCCTCTCTGCAGATGTGAAATGATGACTTCAGCTGCAAGGTGGCAGATTCAGGTCTCCACCAATGACTCATGCTGTCTTTCCACATAAGCATATGAAGTTTATGTGCTTGTCAGTGACATCTATAAGTGACCACAGCCCCTAAAGTCAGAAATAAGATCTAAGAAATATCCTTCAAACATTTGTAGCTAGCAAACAGTATATGACCCCCTAGCAACATCTGTCTTCCAGTCCTTTTCTCATGGGTAATAGATAGAGGAAAAAGCAGTTGCTGCTCCCTGACATTCATGGGGCTCATGTGGTTGAGACCTGAACTGGGAATCTAATGACTCTGGGTACAAAGGACTCAGTGAGGTTTCATGTGATTTGATTTCGGTCTTCCAGGGTTCTTTTTCAAGGAATTACATTCAAAAAGTTGCATTGCTCAACCAAGCAGAATTTAAAAACAAAACAAAACAAAACAAAAGTAACAAATAAATTATTATTTTTTTAAAGTCAAACAAAAGGGAATTGTGAATCCATAAATCTAGTTCCTTATTCATGCATAGCTTTTATTATGCAATCACATACTCTGATCTATAAGCCTTCTCTGAGTGGGATAAGACTAAGCACACACTACTGTGAAAGTAGGTTGCAAGATCTGCCTTTAGCCAGACTTTTCCAGCCTTGGTACTCCTTTGATGTAAAATATTAAGTGCCCACTAGACTGTGGGCAGGTCTGGGGTTTGCTGACGAAGACCATGCCTGTATCCCACAGTATCCTGCATTCTCTTATCCACTGCAAAGGGTGGCAAAGCACTAACCTGCTCTGTCTTGGGGGAAACAAGAATGAGTGAATATTACATGTCTTGGTTAGCATGAAGTGGCTCATCAGGATCTGGGTCAAACCAGCTG